AGCCTGTTCCACTCAACATTATAAACAACAATGTTCAGAGTCGGAGATATGTAAATTGTTTATGGGTGTTTCGTATAATCACGAAGGAAGAAAAAGCGACGAAGCGAATCGCAATGAGTGCTGGTAAAGTCAGTTTCGCTTAAATTAAAATATGTATAATGTAACTTCCTTCTAATAAGTCACAGCGGACGGTTCAAGGAACTAATAATTAGTTCTGTACTAAATAATTAAAAAAAGTTTATAAGGTAATCAGTTTTTATTTCATGTTATTATTTCTTTTATGTATTTCTCCAAAAAAAAAAATTACAAGAACAGAAAGGGACGAGCACAAGAACAAAAGACAAACACCTCGAAAGTGAACTAAATCAATCAATCGCAAGCTCGATAGTCTAGAGGTTAAGACCTGTCTCTTATACACATCTATATATACACTAAAAGTGTATAGCACTCTTTACACGATGTTTACTCGTTGAGTCTTACCTAATATCCCACCGGAACATGTATATGAGTATAGAAACAGCGACTAAGAACGCAACTGAACTACAGGTACTAATCACAGCAATTATTGTAATATTATAGCATTTTAGAGAGTTCGCATCAAAACTAATTAGACTGATTCCATTCCGGTTTTTACACGTACCGTGCTCGAGATCCACAAATATCACATTGGTTTGGTTAATCCAGTTACGAAACCACACCAAGTCACAATCGCAAGCTAAAGGATTGAACACAACTCCAAGCATAATTAAATTGGTCAAGTTCTGAAGGCCAACATTTTCACTTATTGTTGTTAACGTGTTGTTTTGCACAAAGAAACGCATAACATTGGGTGAACCAAGAAATAAGTCAGAGTGAAGTAAACCAATGTCATTCGACCTAATATCAATATTGTTCAAGAGTGGAAGGTTGTGAAATAGATTGGTGGTTAGTTTTACTATCTGATTTCCGTAAATCGAAATTGTTCGAAGCTTAACACAGTTCTCAAATAAACCTTTTTCGAGATTCTTTACAACAGAATGCCTGATGTATATTTTTTCTAAGGATACCAAGTTACGAAACCAGGCCTTATGGATATTAATCAACCCACGATTAAAGTCCATATGCAAGATCTTCAAGTTAACTTGGGAATCGAAAATATGATCATCCATATAAGTTGATTGTAAGCTATTGTAATCCAAATACAAATATTGTAAATGAGTAAAAGGTGCTAAGCTATCAGCACTGATGCTAGCAATATAATTTTGCTTCATGTCTAATACATTTACATCCACTGGAATTGATGCTGTAGGAATATGAGTATTATGAACTTTAGTGCAGACAACTTCATGCGGAAAAAACACTGAATGTGCGCTGTATCTGCGGCAGTACTGACAAGAGCAGCTGTCAGGGCAGACTGTGGTATTTGGTGGCTGTGTACCGTTGATTTGAGTCGGGTTGTTTGCGTAGCAAGTCCTCTCTATTCCATCCTGCATCGAAATAGTTGCAGTTACTTTTAGATAAAATAAGCCGAATATCAATAATCCAAACATGTTGAGCTCTTCAAGAACTTTCATTACGTCTATATTATTATAGGTTGCAAGACTTTCAACCAAACCGAATATATATACTGCTATTAACCTATAATAATGTACATTATAACCGCTGATGTTGAGCTTTTCAGGAACTTTCAATCAAACTGACTGCATAAACCGATTTAGCCTGTTCCACTCAACATTATAAACAACAATGTTCAGAGTCGGAGATATGTAAATTGTTTATGGGTGTTTCGTATAATCACGAAGGAAGAAAAAGCGACGAAGCGAATCGCAATGAGTGCTGGTAAAGTCAGTTTCGCTTAAATTAAAATATGTATAATGTAACTTCCTTCTAATAAGTCACAGTGGACGGTTCAAGGAACTAATAATTAGTTCTGTACTAAATAATTAAAAAAAGTTTATAAGGTAATCAGTTTTTATTTCATGTTATTATTTCTTTTATGTATTTCTCCAAAAAAAAAATTACAAGAACAGAAAGGGACGAGCACAAGAACAAAAGACAAACACCTCGAAAGTGAACTAAATCAATCAATCGCAAGCTCGATAGTCTAGAGGTTAAGACTCCAGGTTAGTTATTTGGAGGTCGTGGGCTCGATTCCGACCTGAATCACTTGTCAGACTCTTTCGATAATATTAGGGAACACGTCAGGTAGGGCAAAACATCATTCCTATTATATTGAATTGCTATTCACTTCGTATTGCTATTCATGTCCTCTTCTGTTTTTCTTATACTGTATTTTTCATTATTTAGGCATGCACAATTCCCAAAAAAATCTCATTCTGCCCTCCACACCCGCCCATAACTCACTGGAAAAAAAAAAGGGGCGGAAAAACAAACTTTTTTCTCTACAAATTAAAAAATGTGTGTGAATTGATCATTATTTTTTGCTAGATGCCCTACGAAGTTGTGGGTTGTTTGATGTAAGATATTGCCATTCTACGCCTACATTCATTGCAAAATGTCTACTGTGGGCTATTTTTATTCCATTAGTAGTCTTGGAAAAAAATGTCAACCAGCCCCTTTTTATCATTAAAAAAAAGAAGGGCAAACAAACAATGAATTTTTTAGGCCTAATAATTCATTTGTTATTGCATTGGAAGCTTGGTTTCCAAACAATCGCAACAACCTATCGGCGATTGGTCGCCGAAACTCGATAGCGATTTAATGAAAACGCTTGTTGATATTTAGAACGATTATGTAAACATGGCAGGTTATTATAGTCATGTAATGATTAAAATACATAAAGTTTTGCTTTAGTATAAAATCTACTAATATACTACAATATAAGATACAAAGCCCATTTTGCACAGAATAACACACACTAACAATAAGAAAAAGGTAAATAGATCAACACTATAAAATTATCTAAGAAATCTCTCGTTATCTAATGCACTAGGAATTAATGCGTCTTTTTTATGAGGTACCGGTAACAATTCTACCGGATCTGTTAAAAGTGATGTGGTTCATGAAGTGGATGTTTATTATCATTGATTTTATTATACATTTTATTTAACATAGTAGATTCAATAATTTCCCATTTGGTCATGTGTTTTAGTCTTAAGAAAGTCAAAGATTATTTCTTTGGTTTTATCTTGGGTCGTGAGTATAGATTAAAAAGATATTAGAATAAAGGAACATATACGGTCTGCAGTCGCTGAGACTATGAACTAGTGTAGAGAAATGCATTTAACGCTGCAACACACGTTCGAACAATGTTTTCTAGGAAGGTAGACACGTAGTAGTAGGTACTAGTAGTACAGTACTAGGCCTAATACTACTCTGGTAGGCAGGCAGGTATGCCTTTCACCCAGTCCTTCAGGCAAAATCACTCTTCGGCTGTGACAAGGTCTCATTCTATTTTTTCTAGACTACTCAGACCAAGATTTATAATCATATTACTAAAAGTGTTTTCAAGTTAGAAAAAAACAATTATTATATTTAGTAGTACGACTGCATACTTTTTTATATTTCCTTCACATCCAACAGCAAGTACACTCGTCACTTACAGGATGGAATGATGCTTAATAAACCAAGCCTCTCTGAGGCTTAGGGAGTGAAGTTTTTTTGTTTTTTATTTTGGTCGTGAGAAAAAGTCCTGCTGTGACAGAAATTGAACCTAGGACTCTTGGATTAGAAGGCAATCATCTTAACGACTAAGCTAATCAATTTTACTCTTTATTGCATTAGTAATCTATATATTCCGGCATGAAATCTAGACTCCGGTGTCCGGCGGAGGATATTACTCTGAATGTCTACAGTTTGGTAATGCAATATATTCACTTTCATAATTCACGTTCGGGAAGATGTTCACCGGGGGTTAATTTTATATTGGATTGGGCAACTTTAATAAGAAAGTAATAAATGCTAATTGAATACAATATTAGTTACCCTAGTCGTCCAGCGCGTTTAAGGGCCCCGACGGTACTCTCCAACCAGGGTCCTCAGAACCTAGTTACGACACTGGTCACAGTTGATTCTTCTTAAATTTAATTTATTAAATAGAAGGCAATGTAAATAAATCATTTTACAGAGAAAAAAATGTACACTTTCTAATTACTTTACAAAATCTATTAAGCATAAAAATGTGCTTAATCAACCAAATTATTTCATTATCATTATAACATTATCTTCTAAATTCACTGAAATATCGTCAATTATACTAGATCTGTTAACGTTTTTTTTTTTTTGTTCTGTTGACGTTTTTTTTTTTTTTTTTGAGAAAAACTTTGGACGACCTCTATATTAACCTCTATCTCGTTGATTTCTCTCATATTTTAATGATATATACTAGTATTCTTATTCTTAATATCCATTATCACATCGTTCGTATCCAGTCTCCTTCAGTGTTACTCCTAGTCACTTATATAGCCTAAACAAAATCATCCAAATTACAGATACTTTTGAAATCACGAGGATGCTAACTGAGCAACCATCACTCTAAAATGTGTTTTGGAAAACACATATTTTGTATTAGGTCTTGTTTAGACCCGAAAAATGAAATGCATGCATAATTAATTTAGTATGGATAAATAAAAGTGCCTTAATCACTGTACAGTCCGGAAAACAGCTGGGGTCAATTGGATTTATTCGGTGTAAACACCAAGGGTGACCCGTGAAAGTCCGAAGAAGCCTTATTTCCAGTGGGGTCTTTCTGGTGTTGATTGGGCAGTTCATCGACAATTGTATTTTTCTCACGATTCTATATTCTATAGCATAAGTATTATTTAAGTACATTTAGTTACGATCAAACGATTTCCCAATAAAATGAAAAGTGATTTATGTCACAAACTGTCTACATCCGTTTATGGGTCTGCTTATTACTATATTGTACAGTACATTTATAAATACCAGTTGCATGCTTTACTTAAAGGGACCTTTTGACTTTCTGATTTTCCATGATGATGATAATAATGATAACGATAAAGATCACCTTAAGGGTCTTAAATTGTTGGGTGGTCTCCGGCTTTGCTTTAAAATATTGACAGTTGTTAGTTTTGGTTACTTAAAAAGTGATCACAAGCAAAATCTAATTATGAAATTATCTCGTAGTCTTAGTTTACTAGTAATGAATGAACTATGTATGGGTTAGTGACCTGCCGAGTTTAAGCCCGAGCAAAATCAAACTAAACTGAACTAAAAACAAAATCATAACGTAAAAGTGAAATAAATTGTAAATAATAAGTGTTTTAAATTAAAACACAGATGAAGAGTGAATGGAACTTACATGAGTTGATATACAACTTTAATATACAAATTAAGAATGACACTATAGACATAAACATGTTTTTATTCGAATATTTCGATAGCTGCAGTGCTCTTCCTCAGCGATAACACGTATATGATTAGAAAGGAAAAACCAAAATCCTTTAAGCAGTGACTAAGTATTAATGATACGATTACTAAAGACGGCGCCAATAATAATGATAATAAAGATCTTTGTGTACTTATTGGACAGTTCAGTATGTGTCTTATAGATGATTTATGGTTATTAACTCGACATCTGAAAGTGAGATCAGTTTCGACAACATAATTTTTCTTATTGTATTAGTTGCAGTAGGCCTATATATAATGTATGGCGAGTTACATTTGAGTAAAGATGGCCTGGTGGTGTGTCCTACGTGGAGTTAATGATCTGTCTGTATTGATGATGTGGCATAATTGGAATCTAAAGCCATATCGCTTTAGTAGGGGAGTTTGGGCCAGGTTAAATTAGGGGTTGTTTATGTTCGAGTAGAAGCAGCTGTAAAAGAATTGTTTGATAGATGGGTCTTTTTGGAGGGAGAGGAAGTGTTTTTATTTTTTATTGAAGAGTTGTAAAACGTCGGGCTTATAATTAAACACCATGTGCAGCCGATCATTATTAAATTTAGGTCTAAAGGTGAGAAGATTCGTGCGAGATGTATATGTGTAATCTGGGTTCTGATTATACTTAATGGATAGGTCGAAGGCATTTGCTGTACATGAGCGATTGTTAAATATTTAAAGAGTGTATGCTTCTTTAGTCAAGGCATCGATTGTTGTCTGTAGGTTTTAATGTGTGTCTTGGTAAAATAAAATAAGTATGAATGCACAAAGTAGAAACGTATAGGCCTACGTTGACATCATAACACATTTTTATTTCGAATACAGGAAAGCCTAATGAGCTGTCTTTAATAGATTTTTTCTTATGATTATTACATCTTAGTAGTCTAAATCTGCAATCAAGTCTATCTATACACTGGGTACACCAAATAAGGTAAATTACATTAGACACGGGTCCCCTAATAATGGTCCCCTCCAGATTGACAGACCCCTTCATAAAAATGTTTGCTCCTTGGCGCAATCTTTCACACCCACCCTTGCCGCAGTTACATTTTCCTCTCTTGGCGGCCCTGACCACTGAACTACTGTACATACTTCCTAAAAATTTGCCATACATAGCTCCATCATCCTCTCCCATCATTTTACCACACCCTGAATGCATTGATTGTTATAATTTGATTGCTAATCATACTTTGTTTTTATATTATTTGGCATTTACAGTCATATAATTAAGAAAAATTTATAT